ATTGCCATTAAAATATTTATAGAAAAAGAGATAAAACCATTATTTATTCATTCTGATCCAATTCTGAGAATATCTTATTCTCTAAGCCAAATGTGTTAAATTCTAAGGAGTCCAGTTATAAAAGAGTCGCATTTTATATTGTAGTTCTGTGTACTATGATCAAAAGAAAAAGACTACAAATCAAACTAAAATACAAAAAAACAACAACAAAACTTGCCTAATGATTTGCCAGGTTCTTGCTGCCTGCTCGCCAGCAAATGTCTAAGACCTCATCAGCAACTTTTTTACATATTGACTGTCCAGTCCAAATAAGGCAGACTCAAAATTTTTGCATTCTTCAATATATTTGAAGATGCAAGAACTTGTGCATCTAAACAGTCAATATTTAGTGGACATCTTTTCTTGGTAGTCTTGAACAAAACTGGTAGAGATTGTATGACAGTGTAAATGGGACAAGAGACATCCCCCCCAATAGAGTACATTTGTTGCAAGTAAGTTTCTTTTTCAATACGATACTGTCAGGAGAAATGTGATTGGTTAGTAGAGATGGCACCATTGACAAATTTGCATAGCAATTTCGGTACCAACTAATCTGCATAGGAATGGTGATGCTTGCTTATTAAGCCATCATAGAAGATTTAGGATTACCAAAATGAGCATCTAAGACATGTTTTGCAAAAGGCACAGAGTTTTTATTTTTAGTTATGAACAATCTCTGTTGGTGCAGACCAAAATCTCTATCAAGCCATTGTAACTCATAATTCAGACACTTAAGCTTCCATGCTTTTCCTTTAGTAAGTTGAATAAATTAAAATGAGACAGGATAACCTTTAGAAGGGCTTTATTCATCTACAAAAGAGAAGTCGACAAACATGTACAATTTGTAAGAGCTAAATGTAAATATATTCTAAGAAGAGGGTACAAGATGAAAAGATTTACGAATGGAATGTTATGAAGGAAAAAAAAAAAAAAAAGTTCTTTTAAATGACAATTAGCTGCTTTTTTTTTTTTTTAAATCAGTTCCCCCCCCAAGCAAGGCAATAACAGCACTCAGACACAGGGTGGGTGGTTGGTTGGTAGTGGTGGTACTATTGGAAAGTGAAAGAGAAAGAAAACACTTTAGAAAAACTCTGAAAATGATAGAATAAATTTAAGAGTTTAGGCAAAGAGTATAGAGTTGAAGTAGAATTTAGAAGGAAGCAGAAACCTAATCCAAAACAGGAAGCAAAGGAGACCAACTTTTACTTCTGATCAAAAGAGGAGTATGAACTGGACGACAGGTAAATCTATCTACTCCTTAAATTGTTATTTTCAATACACTGAAATGCAGACAGAGATTAAAAAAAAAACAATTTTACCACAGTGTGAGGGAAGGAATCAAGTTTTCAGCCAGAATACTGAAATGAAATCAGCAGAATTTGATTTTTTTTTTTTTTTTTTTTTTAAATACCAATAATAAATAATGACAAATGAATTCTCACAGTTGAGATAAGGGAGTTTTTGTGAACTCTATGTTGTCGATGGCTGAAGATGCGATATGCCAGGGTTACATATGGTTTTGTGCTTTTCTTAAGCTGATTGCCACCTAAGGCTGCCCTTCTATTTAACCCTTAAATGGGAGGAGAGAGATGGATTCATACCTCTCCCAAGAGTATTTGTGCAAAAGTGAATGTAACAATCACCAACATAATTTGAACTCGGGTTGCCGACTTCTCCTTCCAAGGGTCGAACCATTACACTACCTGCACAACCTGTTGATACTTACCATGAATTATTTACAACAGATACTTGAGCATTTTTACATGCCATTTAGTGACAGACTTTTTTTTTTACTTTTATTAATTTGTTTTTAACAAGAAAATAATAACATCCTTTTGGCGACACCAAGCAAAAAAATATCAAACAAGAAAACAGCTTGTATTCTTCTGTTTTATTCCCATTTTTAGCAAACATTAAAATTTTAACCACATTAAATATTTTCATCAATTGGAAACTTACCTTCATTTAATCGGACATATTTGAGGTTTGTCCAGAACATAATTAGCCAGTCTAAATACTTCAATGTAATGACCAATCAGATACAACCATCACATTTAGAATGACAAGCAGATTTCATACAAGCATTTTCTTTTTTTAAACCTCGTGTCCAGATTTGGCTTCCTGCCAATTCTGGCCATTTCAAAATATTGAGAACCAAATCCCAGTCAGGGATTTTTGATTGATTTCTTTTTTTTTTTTTACAGCTTAACCCTTTGTTGGTTATTTAAAACTGAAACATTTTACATTTGCAAGAATATGCTGCATTAACTATTTTTTCAGACTAAATGATTTTTTTTTAACTTGTTGATATAGACACATTTAGTCCAAGTACACTCTGGTCATCAGCCAATCAAATGGACACTTGATGATGACCAGAGGGTACTTGGTTGAAACATTGTCTATAATAACATCTATATCAACCAACAGTTCGAAATAATGCAAGTGTATTGAAAATTATTCATCTCAGAAATTAAATACTAAACATGTCCTACTATTTAACATACAGCTGGAGGGAGGAAATGGATTGTACCTTTCCCAAAGGTATTTGTGCATAAGAGAATGTGTCGAGCTTGACTGGAATTTGAACTATGCACTCTCATTTCAAGACATTATTCATTATACCAGCCATGCAGCCAATAGATTTGGGTGATGCAGTGTTTTGCAAACAAATCCTTCATAAGACATGAAGAATAAGCAGTCAAGATTTTCCAAATAGTTGAATGCTTCCCAGATTTTCAAACAGCTCATTATATATATATATATATATATATATATATATATATATATATATGAAAGGAAATTCATATTTATTTCAATAAACTTGGTATAAATATATTTTTCAATAAGTAGATTTTCTATAAATAATAAACAATTCATTTCAGACTATTACAAATATTATTCACAGATTAATTATTTTGGTTAAGTCTTTTTAACCTTATTTCTGTTGATTTTTATTGTAAATCTTATTCCGTGAATATTCAGTAATCGGCATTTCACAGAAATAAAGATTAAGCCTTTAGTGACATTTGATTTTCCAAAACCTGTGTTTGGGTAGAATATCAAAAGATGAATTATTTTTCAGATTGAAAACGTTTCTCCAAGCAACTTCCACAACACCAACTGAGGAGCTTATCTTCAACCAACTACAAATTGCAGGGGTGGTAAGACTGCTGCTGCTGATTAATTCAAATCTATTAAAAGGGAACAACCATTAATCAGCAACAAGGATTTGCTAACCCTTGCTAATGTGTCTGTAGATGGCTCCCTTTTCTTAAAGGTAATCAACGAATTAGTTTGAGGAAACAATGCAGGAGCCTTTATGTACCTCACCTCTCTCAATCATGATATTCAAAATGGCCAGATTAATCCTTGGCTTTTTCTATAACTTTTACCTGATTGCAGGCTATCCACCAGGCTACTGTTATATATATCAGCTAAGTGATGATGGTGTGTGTGTGTGTGTGTGTGTGTGTGTGTGTATTAAGTAAAAGGTTTGTCACTTAGCTGATCGATATTACACTCAGCATCTAGACTTTTGTAGATGGACTTGCCCATCCACTCATCAGGGGGTACATAATCTTTAAGCTGCCACACCCAGAAAGTTGTGGCAAAATACTCTGCATATATACAACAGTTTCTGCCCACTCAAGCAATGCAAAAATATTGGCAGCCAAACTTGACTTTGAATCTTTCTTGACCCCTAATATATTGGACATCTGGTGTCTCTAGAATCAGCCACAACACTTTATAAAAAGTGTTGCCACCAGTTTAGCCACAAAGACTTCACTGACAGTCTAACTATAAAAAAAAAAAAATTATTTCCAATTTTCTCAATTACTACAACAATACTATCATCATGTTTAAATACTCTCATAGTAAAGCATTCCATATTATACTTCTCAATCCTGAAAGGAGGGAGAGCAGGCCTGCCACCCCCACCTCACATTCAAGAAGGAACTAAGAATAATCACTGGTACCTGAGATGTTTCCCATGAGATGGAAGTACCAAGGTTAACTGGACTATTTTTGAACTCTTGTTCCACATAAGTGTAGGACATGCATGTTAAACAGGCTTTGTGCCACATTTATAGACACAAGTCAGAATTTTGATAAATGATAGCAAAGGTAAATTCTACAAAATATATAGAGGAAACAATACTGATTATTAACTTTTGACTCCTATTTTCTTTCCTCTTGATATTCATTGCATTTGTTCAATTACATTCAAAATCCCAGTGCCTAAAATTAAAGAACATCTTGTAATATTTGAATTTCCTACAGGAAGCATTGCCAGTTATCATTAATTTTTCACTCGGAGTTTTTTTTCATTCTATTCCAGTTGCAATTTATTACATGGAGTTCATGCTGAAAAGTCTTCAGCCTAACCCACTTTCTAATATAGGACTAAGCATCAGCATTAATTTTGAAATCCCTTCTTGATCAGACTGAGAACTTTTCAGCACTTATTTGTAGTTTAGGTATATTCCAAATCAAAGAACTGCCTCTGGAATAATGGAGAATACAGATTTTATTATATAGATTATATTTTTATGCAAGTATATAGATTAAATGAAAAACTGAAAATTGAGTTAAAAGCTTTCCCAAACAAAATCCAAGATCGTGTGTGTGTGTGTGTGTGTGTGTGGGAGCTTAGGAAACGAATCAAAAATCATATTTTTTTGCTTTAATTCATCTTTCAAAGATTTGTAAAATTAAAAAAAAAAGGGTCAGGTGGCAAATGAGATATTCAGATTCAAAATGACAGGACCAGCTCATTCTTTCAAATATTCATGAATTGTAACGATATGAATGCTATGTATCATTGCATGTGGATAATCACAGACAACAAAGATGAAAGCAAACCCTTCATAAGCCAATGTGAAAACAAGGGAACCAACTTAAGAAGAAAAAAAAAAAAATAAATACGTAAAACTATCCCCCGGCATGTGATTTTCAATAACTTACCCAGTTATCGTTTCTGTTCGCCATGAAGACTCTGGACGAGAATATCTACAACTACTGGGCGGTTTCACTAAGGGTCCTGGAATCACAGAATGGGATTGCGAAACTGTGTTGGTATTCAGTTCCTGATCTTCAGGTAGGTGGGAAGCGGCACGGACACGGGCGATACTGTTTGAACCACTGGACGAATTACTACTTCCCTTTGGACTTTTCCCCCTTGCTGCACGATTATAATGTACAGATCGGACTTTAAAATAAAGGGTATGTATTATTCGAATATAGTTCAATACTTCCTCCTGCGCACTGTCAAAGACAGACTGATCCAACGTTACTGACTTTTTCAAGCGCTCGGCGAGCTCCTTCTTAGTCTCCATGCTAATGAACGGTATAGAATCCCCACGGAGAAACTTTTTGTGAATCACTTTGATGAGGTGAGGAATTTCCTCTGCTGACCGTGCTCGATTCTTCAAGCCCTGGCATGCAAACCAGAACTCCAAAGTAGTCGCAGCACCATGTTCCTGCGTAAGAAACGTCTGAAAAAGGCTCACCCCATCGCTATCAACTAACAGATAGTCCAAATTTTCTGCCCATTTAAGGTACGGGGGCGTTGTAGCATCCGTCTCCGTGTAAGGGGGTGTGTTAACAGCACTCCCTTCAGGTGCATCCATCTCCTTGCTATCAGCCCGACCACTGTGAACAGCCTCATTCAGCCGATGGTGTGAACGGTGATGACCTACGTAGAGCGGCGGCAACGAGTGAGGTGATGACCCCGGGGCCAATGATGCTGCTCGACTGCTGGCCGGGGCAACAGATGATGAGACACATGCATTATCTTTACAGGGACAGGAAGTACACGTAGTGGTGCAGCACGGACTTGGGGTCTTGCAACTGGTACAAGAGGACGACCGGACTGTTTCATTCTCTTCACCTGGAACTGGGGGACGCGGTAAGTTTTCATCAAAGTTCTCGCTTAATGTCTTCAAATCTCTTTTGTTCATCCTTCTGTGTCTCATTTATGGATCCAATTGGCTGAAAAATGGAAAAGAAAAAAAAAAGATATTTGTTAATTTGGTAATGATTTGCAATGACCAACAACAGCTAAGATGTATAAAAGCCTGAATATTGTTTACAATTAAAATTTTGCAAGCAAATTACTTGAAAAGTTAACAATGATATTCACCAAGAGTTCAGAAATTTGAAAAAATGCATGCAGTTTATTAGGGATGAGTGTGTGTGTGTGTGTGTGTGTGTGTGTGTGTGTGTGTGCACATGGCAAAAAATATACAGTATTTTATTTTTTTTTTTATTTACAAAACATTTAGAAAATGAGTGTGAAATCTACTAAACAAATTTGAGCAAGGAGATGTAATCACAATTACTGAAAACGAAGACGGGTCATACAGGAGCAAATATTGCTGAAAGTGGCTAAAAACAGAAGCTGTGGAGAGCCATGATCATTCATATCCTGAAGGGGCACAGGGCAGAAAGGTGGAGAGGGGGATTTTGTAACTATATATATATATATATATATATATATATATATATAGAGAGAGAGAGAGAGAAATGAAAAGGAACGAGAGAAAAAAGAAAAGAAAAGAAACGAGAGAAAAAAGAAAAGGAACGAGAGAAAAAAAAGAAAAGAAACGAGAGAGAGAAATAAGAAAAGAAACGAGAGAAAAAAAAGAAAAGAAACGAGAGAAAAAAAAGAAAAGAAACGAGAGAAAAAAAAGAAAAGAAACGAGAGAGAGAAATAAGAAACGAGAGAGAAATAAGAAAAGAAACGAGAGAGAAAAAAAAAAAAGAAACGAGAGAGAAAAAAAAAAAAACGAGAGAGAGAAAAAAAAAAAAGAAACGAGAGAGAAAAAAAAAAAAAAGAAACGAGAGAGAGAAAAAAGAAAAGAAACGAGAGAGAGAAAAAAAAGAAAAGAAACGAGAGAGAAAAAAAAGAAAAGAAACGAGAGAGAAAAAAAAGAAAAGAAACGAGAGAGAAAAAAAAAGAAAAGAAACAAGAGAGAAAAAAAAGAAAAGAAACGAGAGAAAAAAAAAGAAAAGAAACAAGAGAGAAAAAAAGAAAAGAAAAAGAAGAAAAAAAAAGAAAAAAACAAGAGAGAAAAAAAAGAAAAAAACAAGAGAGAAAAAAAAGAAAAAAACAAGAGAGAAAAAAAAGAAAAAAACAAGAGAGAAAAAAAAGAAAAGAAACGAGAGAGAAAAAAAAGAAAAGAAACAAGAGAGAAAAAAAGAAAAGAAACGAGAGAGAAAAAGAAAAGAAACGAGAAACATGCCAGGAACTTTTACACATATCAACTTGGTGTACACAAAAGCTTATAGCAATTATTTTAAAGTCACTAATTAAAAGAAAAAAAGAAAAGAAAAATGTACATTATCCTTCAAGTATAGATGTTTACATATAATCTTCAAAACAAAAAAAAAAAAAAAGTCATTATCACTGAACTGAGATTGATATAAATATGTCCAAAGAAAACAAGCTATAACCTTTATTATTATTATTAATTAGTCAATTTCCCTAGTTTTGTTTAACAACCTTTATCTTGTGTGCATGGGGGGGAAAGCAAAAATTTCTCCCCTCCTAACTGAATACTTTTAGTATTTGATGAAAAATAACTTATCACAGACTTCATGACCGAGATGGTTGCTTATTCCTAAGCTAATGTCGGTGTTCAAGATCTGGTATGCACTTTTTTTTTAGAGCTTGACTTTGAAATATTTAAAGCCAAAACATATTACGGATTGTAGGAGGTCACTTACAATGCCTGGTGCTGTCAATCATCATTTGTCAAATGTCCATTTCTATATTTATATATGCTCTAATCCATGATATTTTGAGCCTAAATAACCCTAAATAAATGAAGACTGTACAGGAAACAGACTGTCACCACTAGATGTTGACCACAATGTCCTCTCTCTCCATATATATATATATATATATATATATATGCAATTAAGTTTTTCGTTTAATTTTTCTTGTGTTCATGCATGTGTTTTCCTTTTTGGACCCAATAAAAAAGGAAAAGCAACACAGAATGCTGCCACAATGTATTGGCCATATTTGAAAAATAAAACATTCCTATAACTTTAAATACAAACATAAAAGAAAAGAAGAAAAAAAAAGAAGATATATTTAGTTAGAAAAAAAAAAAAAAAATTCATCCTTAAAAATGGCTAAAATAATAGCTGAAATCACTTGGATGTGCAGAACTTTTCATCAGTTTTTCCACACTGTATCCAGAAAAGAAAACACTTGTATGAACACAAGAAAAATTAAATAAAAAGCTTAATCACAGTACCTTGTCAGTCATCTTTAATAAAAACTTGTATAGAAGAGGGATTGTTTCCCCAATATATATATATATATATATATATATAAAATCTTGTGAATCTGGAGCTAAGCAAGCGACATATCAATTATGCCAACATTCTATTGCTTGAACAGTGTGATCAAACTCATGTGCAAATAGAAAGGAAGGCATAGCACACAGATACTACAATGATCCTAGGTCAAAAAACAACATAAGCAGAAGTGTTAATGTATATGTAAGTAATGTGTACTATATTCAATGATAATTATTAACTCACAGTAAAATTAGAATTATTAACTATATACTAGTTATAGTAATTATAATAAGAGTAGGGAATAAGAGAAAATAAAACCAACAGAGGTTCCCTCATGCACAAGCCTATATATATATATATATATATATATATATGTGTGCGTGTGTGATGGGACAATACCAATATTTTTTACCAATTCCAATACAATTCCTGATAATATTTTAAATTTCCAATTCGGACACCTACAATGATTAAAATTCATTATTTTCAAGCTCTACAGTTGATTTGGGAAACTTAATGAACAAAGTACATTTATTAATAAAACATTTAGTAGAAAAATGAATAGAAAAGCTTATGAAATAAAGTTAGATATCTTTTTTATTTAAAAAATTGGATAAGAGGTTAAACAATAAAGAAAACAATTTCCATATGTAAATTACTTTAGTACCAAGCTACAGAGTTGGCATAATGCTTTACTTTGGTTATCAGAAGTCTTAAAAAAAAAAAAAAAAAGCTTCCAAACTACACTTTTCTTGCTATAAGTGGTGTCTGAATATAAACATTGGTTAAAATTTTAATTTTTCAGTGAAATAAAAAAAATGTTTCTAGTTTTCTAATGTGTATAATTTGTAAAGATTCAACTAATAATTGTTTACTATTGTAAAATAAAAAAGGGTCTATTTTTTGTCCATCTTTTAAGTTTTAACAAAGGCACCCGCTCTAAATATTATGCAATGTTCTTAAAATTTTATGTGGCATTTTTTAATAAATAAAACAAATTTAGTGGTGACAATTCAATTTTATCCTGCCCTTCAAAGATAAGAAACAATATAATAAAAGGCTCAAACACTAATATTCTATGGTTATAATTTATTACATTGGAATCATAATCACAAACCAATTAATCAGACCTACAAATTCATTCACAATGTATTAAATTATAACCATGGAATATTAGTGTTTGAGCCTTTTATATTATATTCTTACTTTGTACTGGACATTGGGTTCTATCTGGATTCTATCCTCTCGGAAATTTTTGTGTGTGTGTGTATATATATATATATATATATATATATATATATATATATATATATATATATATATATATATATATATATATATTATATATATAGTAACAATAATACTCTAAGCAGGGAAAGCATGATTCTGTGTATTGTGGTTTAACTCATGCATACATTTTGATAAAGTACAAAGAGTACTTATTCCTGCAGGACAGTGCATAAAAAATGAATGCAAATTTTAAAACTGTTTACAGACATTTAATAAGAATTAAATATGAATTATCACACCAACTTAATAAATAAATAATAAAGGCTCTTCAATCTTAAAAAAAAAAAAAAAAAAGTTTTATTGTCTAAAATAAATTTCTGATAACTAAAACATTTAATAATTTCTGAAAAGAGAGGCAGGGAGTGTAAAAGTGCAACAACATAATAAAAACATACCCCTTAATTTTTTTTTTTAAAGAGATATAAGCAATTTTAGTAAACTTTACAGTAAATTTTAAAAAGTATTAGGAAATTAAAAGCTAAACAACGCTGATATCCAACTTAAACATTTCATAAGGTGTGAGATTCTGAATTGTTACAAAACATTAAAATAAAATTAAAAATTATTAAAATTTTCATATGAATGAGAACAACTGTAAATGTATTTTTTGCATATGTTCGATTTTTTTTCAGTTATTAGAAGATGAAACTTGACTAATTTTATTTTTAAAATATTAAAAAGTATTGTAAGTGGAAAATAACTACAGCTTAATCACGCATAATAATAATACTCACTTTTAACTTTTTTTTTTTTTTAATATACTTCTACTTATAAAACTTACATTTTGTTTGGCTCTGAGAAGTAATAAATAGGAAAAACAGTTCAAAGTATTTTAAGTGCCATAATAATTCAATACAGGAAAGTTCAATTATGTCAAAGAAAAATATTACTAAAATAAAATTAAATATAATAATTAAATTTTAGGTTTTTTAACAGAAACTTGTGAAAGTTTTTTTTTCAGGAAACTTCAAATAATAGTTTGTTTATTTTTTTTTTTTAAGTAAATAAAGATGAAAATCCGTTTCAAAAGCTATAAAATTTTAATATATGAATTTCGTAGAAACAAATCTAAGTTTCATAAAAAGAATGTTTATTTTATTTTTTAAGTCACAGTTATTGAAAAAAAAGAATTATTTTTGTTTATGTAGTATGCTATGTAAACAAAAATAAATATTTTTAATAACCAAGACTAAAAAATGATTTTATGGATTAAAAATATTATAAAAACAAATTGTTATAATTTAACTGCCTCACAACAAGGCCAATTTTATATGGGAAGAAATCAAATGTGATATTGGTGGGAATTTCATCCTTTTTTTTTTTTAAATTAAAAAAAATAATAAAAGTTGTCTTAAGAGAGAGTTTGGCAGAACAACAAAAATTCATTTTGTGTTTATATTACATAATTTAAATATAATTATTAAATAATATATTAAATGAGAGAATTCACAATATTTAAAAAGAAATTAATCTTTAAAATCTAGTGAACGTTATGGAAATTTGCAGACATTTTTTTCTAAAGTAAAATAAATTTACATCAGACTTAACTGAAGTGTTATGATCTATTGATTTGTTTTATTGATAGTTTCAAATCAATAAATATTTATATCTTTATTATTAGTACCAGAAATGGAAAATTAAGTTTTAAATGAAAAAAAAAAAAAAAATCCAAAGAATCATTTTTGTAGTTGGTTAAAAATTCTGATGCCAAATCCAATATCCCAAAAACTTCCGATATTTAAGATTCCGATTAATTGTCCCAACACACATAGGTGTGTGTAAATTTTAAATACTGTTTCTGAAGCCAAAATTGTTGGTTTTTCAGTGGTTTACTGATGAAGCACTTAAGGCAGGCAGGCAGGCATTGTGATAAGGTGCTCAATATTGAAAATAGAGATAGTGGATTAATAGAAGTAATATGAAAAGTTTTTTTTCACATTTACTTCTGAGTTTAGTGGCTATTATAGGTATGACCACTTGTTGGAAGAAAGTTAAACTGCTGTTATTTCTTAATTCTCTTGTACTTTTGTGGTATGAGTGTGTTTGATTGATTTTTCTTAATCTTCCCTCCTCTTTTTCATTTTTTCTTTTATTCTTTCCTCACCTCTGTTGGTCTCTGGTTTACTGTTGACCATTTAATTTAGGTTATGGTTGGATGTGTGCGTGTGTGTAACTGTATATGTATTTTTAGTGGGTTGTATTATTTAACTTTGCTTAGTGTCTTAATATATTTTAGTAGGTTATATTTTTTTAACTTTTAATGTTTGATACTTGCGTTTATTTGTATGAAAGAACAGTTATTTTTGTTGGTGATGTTGGTAAACCCAATTGTTTCTTTTGTATTTTTTCATTGGTTTATGTTTAGTATGCTCCTTAACTTTGATATTATTTTAACAGTTTCCTTTAGGTTATAGTACGCGTTTTGTGCAGGTGAATGTTCATGTGTGAGCCTGTTCATGTGTATGCCTACTTACATACAAGTGTAAGTGTGTGTATATGTACATCTACATTTATGTTTGTGTTTATATGTTCACACCCCTATATGTGGGTTCTTTATTTTTTCTTTTAAATATATTTAGCGTTTGTGTATTTTTGCATTTGTGATATTGTTATTAAATGAAAACTATAATTACTAATCAAAAATTAAAAAGCTTAATA